TATTAGACCCGTCGTCCATTTATTTGTAAGTCAATGCTGAGAATCATTAATTTTAAAAGTAAAATAATTCTTACCATTATGTACAAAGTTCCTTATGCTATCCTGGACTTCACCTTCAAGAGTCCCGACTATATCAATTCTCGGCACGTTCATCGCCCCGCACCACGCAACCAGCATGTGGAATAGCACGAGTTTGAATATAGAACACCGCGCGTTCATCTTGGCTGAATTCACAAACAGTCTGTTTTCTTCACTCATTTTAATTTAATGAATTTTATTTTCTCTGTTTACACTGTTACCGTGTTTTCATGACAATAACAAAATTTAAAAACCCTCTTAAATTAAGCGCTTTGTGCTTGTAGTTGGATACTAGTCGTAAGTTTACAGTCCGTAGCTTACACTTCTGTATGATCATTATAGGCGATCTGAAAAGATAGAAAGTTCATAGATTAGTGAAATTTTATAAATTAAATTAATTGACGACGCGCAATACATTTCCATCAAAATTGCCAATAAATTTAATATGCAATCTTTTTTAAAACAATTTGAGAAAATAATAATAATGTGCTGTGGCACAACTACACCAATTTTAGAGCATATAGACACCAACTAACCACATCGAGGTTGTCAAAAATTTTCGTCGCTTTCAGAATTTATTTCATTTACATTTCTATTTCGTTTATTTTCTCCCACTGGGTAATTCCTTTCATTTCAAAATAAGACATTTACACGAATAAATATTGTGAAGTTCTTGCAGTAACTACGCCAATTTTTAATTCTTCAAATTTTACTGCAATCCTACGATACTCACTAGCTAAGTATGTATGTATAATACTCGTATTCTTTGAAGCATGGTAGACAAGTGAATATTATTATGCAAAAGTTTCTTCAGCTCCTCCTACTTTACACACTCAACTTAACTGTCTCTGTGGCCGAACGGTTACCATGCCGGACAGCCACGCAGCAGGTCCCAGGTTCGATTCCCCGGCCGGGAGAAATATTTGTATGGCCTACACTTATTTCTCTCATGAGTTTGGGTGTAATTTGTGGTTGTCTATGTAATGTGTCCAAGGCACCCGCGATAGGGTTTCCCTAGTGCGGGGCTATGTTGAGTGTGTGCGTTATTATTATTATTATTATTCACTTTATTTCTTCCGTGCTTATTCTCACACATACTCAAACAAAACCTTGTAGCGTTATATTATATTATTTATGGTACACACTACACTTGCTGGAGTTAAAATAAATTACTATTATTTATAATATTATTTCGGTAATTTATTTTAGATTCTCACTTCTCAAATAGTTTAAAAGTTAAGTTTAGAATTCTTTATATTATTATTATATAATAAAAATGTAAATTATTTGTGTTATAGGTGTAACTAGTATTTCGTAACGTAACTCCAGTTACATAGTATAGAGTACAGTCTCTGCGTAGCGTTATTTTATTACATTTTATTATTCTTATTTAAGAGCAAACGTTAGTGCCGTACTTAATAATTGAAACTAACCGTTATTCCTACAAAGACGTTAATGTAAAAGACATTTCATAATTATCTAATCTGAATGGTACACAATTAATTACTCTTACGTCGGCGTTATCATCATCACGTTTTTCAGGTGTTAAAAAAATGTAATCCAAGGACTTTTGAGGTCTGGTTCTGTTTAAAAAAAGTTTTAATTATTATGATATCGGACGTTTATGTAATGCGCCTGGTGGTAATCAACAGTCCTGTCCATAACTGCTATATTGCCATTCAGAGCATTATTTCGTAAAAATCTAACAGGCACTGCTACAGCGCCCATTACCCTAAGACATAAAGGTCGCAAGTCCCATGTCCCTGTAGTTTCACCACACTTATAAATAAACACTCTTCATTTAAGTCAAATATGAATAGGATCTACGTAGATAGGAACTGGCAGTCTGTCATACAGACAGCCGACATACTTGACGGACGCAATCGACGTAAAATTTGTTTTATTTTAATGAAGTATCATATTTTTGTTAATGATTTACTATAATTTCGAGCTTTTAGGCTTTCGCGATTGTTACACATAGGAAATGAAACTAAAACTAAATTGACTGTCAGTCAATCGTGACCATGGGACCTGTAAAGTGACCGAAACGTCGGTTTGTTTGAAAAAACAAAAATACGCGATTTAAATCCGGAAAGATAGTTTGATTTACTATATTTATTTTGTCATATCAAGTGACAGGATGATCAAGTCGTACGCCTGATGATAAGCTACACGCCTGTCCATAACAGGCGCAGTGACAATCAGAGCTTTAAATTGCAAAGATATGAGGGGCACTGCTACTGCGCCCGTCATTAAAGACTAGACAGACTTGAGACATAAGTTGACATGTCCCATGTGCATGTAATTTCACCAGCAACCTCACCCGTCAAAGCCGGACAGCAATATTGCTCACTTTACTGTTTGGCGGCAGAAATAGGTAAGGTGGCAGTACTTTTCTGGACGCACTCTTTCACACGGATCTGTACTGCTAGTACTATACGAGTACTACATTCTAATAAAATGTTTTCGAAACATTATACTTATAATATAATTCAACGTTCTACAACGTTACAGGTACAGTTACTCTGTAAAGGTATGATTAAATATTCCTACACGTGGAAGAGTAAGACCCCAGCTACATGGTGGATCAATGTCGAGAAAAACCTAAACGCCCAGAATGTTTCATCAAGGAATATTCATGACCGGGCAAAGACCCAATATAAAACGGGAAATGGGCAGGAAAAAGTAGAAGATATAATACTAATCTACACACAGAAATCTAAATAAATAGGCAATATTTAGATTTCAGTGATTCTACCACACAGAAATCTAAATAAATCTTATTCTGTACATTATTTAGTTTCATAATTTTGAAAGAGAAAAATAGATCCAAGCTATTAAATCTGATTTGTAATATTTGTTTGTTGAGTTTCTTAAATAATGAATTTATTAATCAATGCATACAGATAAACAAAAGTACCTAAGCAACACTATAATGGGAACAAACTACTTTTTACTTACACATAATTGAGCCAGGGATCGGCAGATGATCACACGTCCAGCTTCAGTAGAACCACGATGTGCTTTGGACACAGGAATGAATTCGAAAACGTTTATATACCTTCAATACGGTTATAATCACAAGTATAGAAAATATTTGTGACCTACCTAACCACAATTTAAATGTTTACCTTAAAAATTGAATTAAAATAAACCAGCTGAAAGTAGGTTAGGTAAGTAGGTACGTATTTTCCATGTATTTTATTACACATTTATAAATGAAATTGACAAAATAAATTTCCCCGCTATATGGCATATTTGTTTTGTCCTTTTCTTAAAGGAAGTTTAGTAGTTTAGGGAAATCAGGAATACATAAAGTAAATGTCAATTTTGTATGCGCTTCCTTTATTACTAGCAATTAAAGGATATAATGTAATTAATATGATGCACATTGTAAAAATATTTATGGGGATGGCCTTCTTGATGCGGCTATAAAAAAGTAGGTGTTATCCATGTGTCACCCAACGACGGAATTGGAACTCTCTACCCTGATTCCACCTGATATGATGACCCACCGAAGACGAGTTAATGCCTATCAAATAAATAATGGGGTGAAGTCTTGGCTGTATGGTTTTAAAACCTTTAACTTTTCCTTTACGGAAATAATGGAAAAAAAATTAAGTTAAGCCAAGTTGTAAACTTATTACAAATTGACCTTTGTAAACCATATTAAAACTTAATGCTGGCACAAAGTAGTCTAGTTTAAAAAAATATCCCTAAGACACATTTCGTTACACTGGTAGAGAAAAAAACGAATGCTTTTCATTCTGCACTAGGCGAACAGGGAGGCATGTAAGGTCTGTTACATGCCTCCCAAAACTTCATCCAAGCTCGTAAAATTCATATTAATTAACCAACAAGTAACACCTGACTGTCTCTCACTGTGTGTTCCGATCTACCGACCCGAGAGATAAGGTTTTCCGGAGAGACTACGGGCTCGACGGCAAGACCAGTTTACGGCGGGCGTCCGGGCCAAGCCCTCCGCCAGTCATACGCCTTCACGGGCGTCTCTGGCGGACCCGGACTTGGGTATGTACTCGCTGGGGTATGTGGTTAGATGTAGGGACGGACACGTTCGTCTGCCCCAGTGGTGTGAGGCCGGGGCGTTCGTCCCGCGCGCAGCTAGCGCGTCTTTGCAGCGGTCTTATTGACGGCCTGAGGCGAGGAGACGCGCGGGACACGTGTGTAGGCCTTTAACGGCCGCTTTCTATATTTGGTCCTGAATCTAAGATTGTTTGCTATCCAGATTTTATTCGATCCATCGATCGCTGCCGGATCTGTATTTCAATATATCTATCTCGGCTCTAGCGCCCCTAAAAAGAAAGGATCGGTCGTAAATTTACGCCCTCTCTGACGTTTAGTTCCACGCAATCGGAGTAAAAGTTCATTACATGAGTTAGTAAGTAAAATGGTGGTTATGTTTCTAAGATTAAGATTAGTTTTAAACCGTAAGTACGTCAAGAATGACGTGTTTCGAGGAACAGAACGGAACGTCTATTGTCCAGAACGGAACGTCTATTGTCCAGAACGAAACGTCTATTGTCAAACGAGCGGTACGGCCATATAGGATGAAAAAAATAAAGGGACGGCGCGCGGCGGCGGCGAAGTGCTAGTGTCAATCACAGACCACATAAATACTGTGTCAATTTATGTTTTGTTGATGTTTGTTCGTATTCGTGACGTGATAAATAATCTAAATTATAAAAATACCGTTTTGATTTGACTTTGATAAATGGCATTATTTCATTTAACAAATTCAACTGAAGTTTTGTTCAGCCTAAAATTTGAATGTAAATTCAGCGTCAGTTAAACTTCCCATGAAGTAAATACGCCTAAACTTTCTTGAGGACACAAGCTGCTCTTGGTCGCTGTCGCTACTATCCCAGTCCGATAACTGAGCAAATTGTTCAAGATCACAGTCGCTGTTACTTAAAAATAACTTCCATATTCACATGATTACACAGTACAATCGGTCAAAATTGGAGGATCGCTACTACAGATCGAACACGTTCAAAATCCGATTTGTCAAACCTATGGATCGGATATTGAAAGCGCACAACTGTCACTACCATACAAATGTCAATCTAAAAATGCCATAGATGGATTGAAACAAAAGATAAGAATAACGATCCCTCGATCGGTTATTGAAATATGAAAAATAGGATTTGGATTGATTATTCAAGCTCAGATAGCAAATTATGGGTTGAGATTAAATATAGACAGCGGCCGTCGTAGTCGTAGTAGATATGTCCGGACGTTGTCGTAGGACATCTCTTGGCATCTCGGGCACTAGCCTACCTCCCCAATTTGGGAACTAGAGACGCCGTTCTTTCGGCGTCGGGATGTG